AAGGAATCTTTCCTTTATATTGTTGTTACATTAGGCTGATGTTTTTCAAGTCTGGATGATTATTTGAAAGATTAACAATTGTGTGTGGTGTTGTGTTTCTGTGGTGTGTCACCTTCACTTAAAATGTACGTCTGCTCATGGTAATTCCGCACCATTTCTCTTTAAAATTTGATTAAAGTGTTTAATATTTTGATACTTCTATACACTTTAGATTATACATTTCATGCCTCTTTACTTTATTTCTTGCTAATGTCACTGTTTTTGCATTATTTTGCCATTTATATCTCACCCATCTCAATTTTTCTGAGCAGTTTCACCGAATGTGGTGACAGAAAGATCATCTGAGCACGCGTCAATGTCAGAGTTCACAATCTCAGTGTCTTAGAATAATTGCTCATGACAGTCCTGTTTTTGATGTGAAATGGAGGAATTCTGGTGTGCATGCTAATTTAATATAAGGTATTTCATGTATACACTCCTCTCTATAAGTTTGGCAACATACTTTTGTAGTAACTTGATAGTGACTTTCCTAAGTATCGGAGCTTAGTATATTAAATCAACTATTTTGTAAAAGGGTACTAGATCTAGATGGTGACATGACATTGCCATGGCGATGCTAGTATGTGATGATTGTATCCATGGTATTATTTTGAAGAATGTTTCATCTTCATCTCTTGCATCATAATCCCAAAGCAGCCAAGATCTATTAGGTTAGCGCTGTTTACACAGAGCTTCTCTATCTCTGATTTTACCACAACCAGACCACATGTCTGTCAGAGTCTTGTAGTACAGTAGGATCTCTGTAAGCTATAAGTTTGTGGTTAGGTTGGTCAGCATGACAAACCACAATTTGGGCCATGTGTTTCTATGGGAACTGATGGTCAGCATAACAACCACAAATTGATCCATGTGTTTCTATGGTAACTAATTATTGTAAGAGCTGATCTTCATAAATTCTGCATGATTTAGATTGTTTTCTTAAAATATCATGATAAGAAAAGGAAGTCAATACATGACACAAGGAAATGTTATTATGTGGAGGGGGAGGGGGGGGGGGGTAAATTTATTTACTCAAAATTCACAGAAAACCATCCAAGTGTCAGTTGAAGAAAATATGCTTAATTTTATATTCTTCAATCTTCAAGTTGGAAATGTTAACACAGCTGCATCTAAGCTATAATAGTATTATCACCCAGTATAAATAAACATGAAATATAAATGCTAAGATATCCCACTCTTAACATGTCCGTCTGCTCATACTTATTTTGCTTTTTTCTCTCTTAAATTTGGATAAACAATTTGATATCATGGCATTTTTGTACAATTTGGAGTGTTAAGTATACCTCTGTTAAGTTTATTCCATGTTATCTCCTTGTTATCTTCCCCTATTTTGCATTTTAAAATCTACCTGTCATGATGATTTACGTATCATGGAAGGGCTGGTCTTATCATACATTTTATTTAGCCAAACAACTATATTTTAATGGAGCATAATTAAAAGTAAACACGATGTGATAAGAGCATGAACTCAAATTGTACTTTTGTCACCTTTCATTCATGATATGCTTGTTGACTTGTCAAAGTTAAATCAGTTAAAGTCATGTGTCATATTTAAATCAGTTAAAGCCACTTGTCATCGTTCATAACTTTTGCCATTGCCATCATTCAATCAATTGTAGCAATCTCTCATAATTTGGTAAATTAAAGCCACTTGTCATATATATAATTAAATCAGAGTAATTTAAAATTAAATTAAAAAACTTCTAATAGTTTAATCTGTTGAAGTCACTTGTTAATCAGATAATATCCTTTAAACAATGAATTAAGTATGAGATATAGTGAACATAATGTAGATATACCATAATACAGGTAATGAAAGATCATCTTTAATATTCTAGACTCAGGGACTAAGAGCAAGAATCATTAGCTTTTTGCTTTTTAGGTCAGTTCAGATTTTCCCAAACAGTTCCACGAAAGTTGGAAAATGAACTAGACTAGAACTACAAATTCCTGGCATAAGAAACCATGTACTAATATCAACAATTATTTCTATCTTTACAATAAATGATGATTATGATGCATGTGTATACATAACACGCAAGTTAACTTCGTATGTTGACTTTCGGACCATTGTGGTCCATTCCCATTTTGTTAATGGGGAGAAATCACCATGGTGATGTTTGGTTCAGGGGGGTTTTATTCCCAGGTTTGATATGACGTCAATCATTAAACTATTGCAGACGGGAGTCTATTTTTAAAGATTCATACAGGAAGTGATGAGGACTGGCTTCGGAATAGCAACCAAAACTTGTCAGTGGTTGATCCTACAGGTAATTAAAATCCTAGCAAAAGAGAGCAATCACCAGGCAAGGATTCACATACACATAAACCAATATCTAAATTGTGTAAAATTATGAGATAATTTGGTGATTCATTGAAATGCTTGAGCAAAATGGATTGATATACACTGGAGCAGATTGAAGTATTTTAGATGGGTTTGAATTTGTTTACCTGCATCTTCAGCTCTCAGCTTGCCCATGTTCTTGTGAAATATTGACTGAATTCCATTGCTAACAAGTTCACTTACTGCAATATTTAAAAGTTCTCCAATAGATTCATTTTGCTTCTTTAGGGAGATTTGTTTTCCTAATGTACTAGGTTGGTTTTGACACTCAAGCTAAACTCTCATATTCTGTGCAAAATGGTTGTTTTTTTACTTTTTTACACAAAGGATGCTATATTGTCAAACTGTTTGAGTTATTGATTGTTTCAATTGTTCATGCCTAATGTCGATCGATGTGTATGTACTAACATTATGTAAGCTTTGAAACAATATTGTAAATACTGTATATTATTGTACAGGTATATGCATGTATTTTGTAGATTGTCCAAAATACCCAATGATTGGGTGATGTCTAATAAAATAAAGAGATTGAAGTTTGATTTTGTCTTTCATTACCAATCTGAATTGAGCCAATATTCCACAATTGTAAAAACTGTATGTGTTGTGCAATTCATTAGTTATACAGGAAACATAAATATTGAAAAAGAATGTTTTCCAGACTTCATCCTGAACATACATTTTGATTTTGGCTTTCCTAACTGAAGTTTCAGCTGAAATGAGTCAATATTTCATTTTTGTTAAAAGTTAATCTGTCAGTGCCACTCATTAGCTATGCAAAAGTTAACGAAGCGGATGATTTTGCTTCTCAAAAGAGAGATTCATTGACACTCTGAGTTCGAGATAATCCTTTGATCAAGAATACTGAGGATACAGTAGATAATAAGGCATTGTTTCATGTGAAATGTCACTACCTACCATTTGTTATGGATGCAAAACACCGAACACAATCCACAAAAAAGTTGGGAGACTATAACAAGGTCACCACTTGAGGCGGTGACATAAAAATCCAACCACCCGATCGAAATAGCATTCATAGGATTTTATGCATTCAGAAGTAAATGGCATTTATCATATAATGAAACTCATTAAAGGGCAAGACTTTAGATCACCATAAAAACTACATTATTTTATTTCTAGAGTTCAGAGCCGAAAGTACACTCAGGGTAAGATCTGTTATGGATTCATCATAGTATCTAAAAGGTAACTGTTACCCGATTATTGTCAACATTTATTTTATTGGTTAAGAAAAACACACCCCTAGCTATGATTTCGTAAATATTATGATCTTGACGGTTTTATCCATGGAAATAGGTATTGTATATCAGTCCTGCCATCTATTAATGAAGGAAAACTGATATTTCATGGAATATCCTAAAACAGAAAATCACATAACAATTATTTAATTTTTGATTTTTTAATTATATTTAAAAAACAGAAGTTACATAATATCAACCCTGTTATACAGCCAGGAATGGACTTCACAAATAGAGAAATGCTCAGGTTTTGTGGCAATTTTTTACTTAATTTTACTGATTTAGAATTTTGCAATGTTATGTCTGAAGAGTCCACAAAGGATTTCTCCGAGAAATATGTTATGGATACAAAATATGAATATCTTAAAAATGTGGAACAATCATTATGTCAATTTATAATCTTAAAAAATAATTTTCATAAAATTCATTGTTTCGTACATGGACGAAATATTGTTATGTTAAATACATTTTTAAAGGGCCACACGCCAGAATTGGATTTTATATATGTGTGCACATTTTAGGTTAAAGCCAACTACATATTCCCTGAGCATCCCTTTTCAATGTGTAATCAAATGTGCTACATACATATATAATAGATGTCATATATCCAATTAAAAAGTAATATGACATCAATAAATTAACAATTAAATAACACAAACTGATGTCATGTTTTAAGCAACATTCTAAACTTGGCAGGAATAAATACTTTTGAATTATTATTTTTCATCTACTTAATTGATATTTAAATTGACATAATATTCTACATCACTTATATATTTATACATGTATACCTCATCAGTATTTGGGTTCATGAAATTGTTCAGTTACTCAATGTTAAGTCACAAATCCTAGGTAGGATACTGATAACTTCCTCAGGATAATTCCAATATGCTGTTTTTATTTAATCACATATTCCAGTTTTTTACATAAAAAGTTCAAGTTCAATTAAGAAATTCAAATATTGCAGTTTTCATCAGGATAATTTGAAGTTCATGAAGCTGTCCAAAACTGACAAGAACTCATCAACTGTAGGTTAAAACTGAACAAATATTTGGAGATTTTTCTAGAGTTGATAAATATAAATCCTTAGAAATTGTAAACTCTACACGAAAACTCAAAATCTGCACATTTAAAATGTGTTCCACTTTGGAGGTGTTCCACTTAAAGAGGCTCATTTAACATAAGTCAATCTGTCAATTGGAACAGAAGTGTTCCACTAACAGATGTGTTCCACATGTTTCACTGTATGGAGAATTAATCTGCATCTGTGACACAATAACCAACTGAGATCTTTGTTTATAAAACAGCCACTTGAATCAAATACTCAATCACACTCTACTATACCTTGCATTTGGTGTTCATAAGCAACCCATTTGGCTTATTAGTAATGATTAGGTTATTTGTTTTTATTTGTCTGTTCCTTATGAATGGTTTATCGGATGATGTTAGATGTTAATAAGGTACTTTCAAAAATATACTAAACAATACAATTGGACAAACAGAGTATCTTATGCATTTCTAGGGGTTAGGTATAGTAGAGTGAATCACTGACAATTACATAATATCTCAGATGTCAAAAGCATGGACAGTTTCAACTGATTTATTATACTACATATATTCACAATTCACATTGTCCATTTAGTTCTGATAACGTAGCATTGTTTTTTGGTGAAGAACAGAATTAGCGCTCGTTGCTGAGAGTACAAATCTTAATGCATAACAGTACTATAGATAGATGGCTTGGCATTTCTATTCTTACAATATCAATGGAGATTCTTCAATGGGATCTCCTTTTATCCGATATTTTATGTGTACACCACGACCACACAAGAGAGATTGTGATTGGCTGATTGAGAATGGATAAATGTGTTCTAGAATCATTGGGAAGCAGTTGATTGAAGAGATTCCAGATCTTTCCGAAGTTCTGCAACCATATCTGCCCGAGGAACCTCTCTCTGGAAGAACACACAGAATAGTTTTCCCAAGTTCATATAATGTATTAATTGCATACTTAATAAGTACAATAAAATTAATGTATTAATGTCAATTGTCACAAACACAGTCACATATAAAAACATACATAATCCAAAATGATAACGGCGATCAGAAGAATGAACAAATATGAGTGATCATATTTCCTTAAAATAATCACTGAAGCATCTTTATATGCAATGGACTTCATATTTAAGGTAGGTAATGATTGGGTAATCTGGCTATTAAGGTGAGAAGAGCAAATGAAATAACTATCTGGTAAATTAAATTATTTCACTGGATAATAAGACATGTTTTGGACAAGTGTATAATAACACCATGCACTAACAAAAAAAATTCCCAACTCCGCCTTCCTTAATTTCTGACTGATGTCACATATTACTTAAGAGCTACATACCTCAGTTCTTGATGGGATGTTTCGTATCTTCACAATTCCACTCTCAATTTCTGATTGGCCAATCACAACCGCTAAAGGGATGGCCATTTCTTCACAGTGCTGCAGCTGTTGTAACAGCTTAGGGTTCAGCTTATATGGTTGTTCTGACTGAAATAACCATTATGTTATACTATACTATATGGAACATTGAGTTTGAGTTTACACTAAAAAGAGAAATTTTAATTGGGATGCCTGCCTACCCAACCGACGGAAAACTGATCACAATATAGCACCCAAGGTGCTATATTAAGGTTAGGGTGCAACTCAGGGTCTGACTTTTGTACAAGGGTATTTCATTGTTACAGCAGGGAATTATTTTGATTTGAATATGCAGCGGTAACATTGTACATGTATTTATGAAAGTGATGGCAGAAAGGATTCACCATTAGATATGACAAGGGGTTTCATTAGCAGCAGGCAACAGGCGATGTTCACCAGTTGTTTTCACAAAATCAAAGTCGCCAGTTGTTTTTAGGGAAAGTTTTCGATGTTAAATTTATGATTTCAATAAAGTTTGCCTGTTGTTTTCATTTATTTAGCCTGTTGTGAGAAATTCTAGTGAAACCCCTGTATGACATACATCCACTCTCCTTACCTTGATATCGTTATCCCATAGTTCAGCACATATCTTCATCCTCTCATCACTGAGACCTTTTTGTGCTGTGGCCACATAAACTTCCGTTTCAGTAGTTCTTGTCTTTTCTTTGGACTTCTACAAAATATTGAGATAAAATGTATAACTTCTGTTTTAGTTGTCTTTCTGCAGACTACAAATATTGAATTAAGAGTAGTATTGAACATGACAGACATGTAGCCAGGGGAGGGGGGAGGGCAAAATTGGCCAAATTCCTTTAAAAATCATGCATTTTTTCGTCACCATCCAGAGCACTTTTCAAGTGATTTTGCGCCAAAATGTGAACCCCTGGAATTTTTTAAAATGTGAACCCATTAGCTAAAGCTGGCTACAGGCTTGCATCATTTTGAGGAATGTCAAATATACATATCATTTTCTGCATCATTGTCTACACATTTTGTTAAATTTTGGAACTACACAAGACAGATTTTTAGGGAAAAGTTGCTCTTTTCAATCTCCTTTCAAAAAAATAAAAAGCATACCTTTGCCTTGGCCTCCATAATTGAGAAGATTCTCTCCACCCCCAGGCTGACCCCCACACAGGGAACCTTACGCCCCTTAGAGTCAAACATACCCACAAGGTTGTCATAGCGACCACCTCCTGCTATACTCCCAACTCCAACTTCATCCTCTTTTTTCCCAGATTTACTTTTTGTACCTGGAAATTGAGATCAAATTACTGAAATCATTTATTTGAAGAGGAAGTAATTATTCTTAAAAAATCATCTTTAATTTTTCACTTCATAATTCAAACATTTCAGATCCAATCAATAATTGGAAGATTCTAGAACATATACATACATTATATAATAACAATATGATACGTATATTACACTTACAATAAATCCATAAAAACAGTAAATTAATGAGACTCTCCAAGTATGAATGATTTATCGAAAAAGCAAATCAAACATGAGATTACAATAAAAGCAGTGTTAGCTTCACTGTCAACTACACACAAAATGCAAACATGCAAAATAAGCAATGATGAGCCTTAAATTGTGAACAGAAAAGATTTTATAGATTTTTTGTTCAATTGGATATTCTTTACATATAAGGGACCAAGTTCTTCTATTGCAAATGGATTTCAAAGTGTCACCAGTATTATAAGAGATAGTCTTGATAAATCTATGTCAATGACATTAAAGATGTTGGTAATCAAAGTGTTTAACAGATTATCTTTAAATAACTGATTAGCAAACCACTCATTTTTTCTTCAAGTAAAGTTTTTCGACACTTTCGCAGTGGCTATCACCAAAACCTGGACAAAGATATATATATTTGAGACAAAAATGTAGAATTTCAAGATCGCAATCCCAAAAATGTGCAATAATGCAGAAATGTTGCAGAAAAAAACAAGCGAAAATCTTTTTTCTCAAAGATGCTAAAAGTGTGTGTTGCTTGGTAAAACACTTAGAAATAAGCAATACTCATCTGTTTATCTTTCAATATAACAACAAATGAATGACAAGGCATCAACATGCAAAATGTCACCACCTGCTATTTGTTACAGACCCTAAATGCCAGACGCCAAATGTTGTCACAAAAAATAGAGACAATTACAATATGTCACCACTTTTGGTGGTGACATAATAAAAAATTAAACAAATAAAAAAAAAATTTATGTTAACAATTAATCCATCTCTCTACATGCATTATTTGTGCAAATAAGTGCATTGTAAAATGTTAATACAAAATACATGTTAATACAAAATACATGCAAAGAACATACATTAATACGATGCAAATGCAAACATGCAAAACACAAGTGAAAGAGATGATAAAGAAAGAATAGTTTATTAGTTCATGCAAGTGAATCTCGTAAAACAAGTATTCTGCATAAAATTTTGAATTAGATACTAGTGTGAGCAGTAGTTACTTATTCAATGCTAGAGAACAATACAGAAAATATTGTACCCGAGACAGGGTGCCTCTTTCAAGGGCACAATATTTTCCTTATTTCATCAGATTGAATAATATTTTCAATGATAATTGGCATACAAGGTGTTTTGAATGCTTTTTCAACAGAAAAATGACTCAGATACTAATGCCTGGAATATTGAAACAGTAAAGATTTCTGTATCCCAGGATACATTTATCTCACATGGACCAATCAGATCCCTAGGAATTCCAGTCATTGAATAATGTAGGACATCTTAAGAAGAAACAATATTGACCCAGACAAGTATAATTGTAACTGTTCTTATTTCACTGGCGTGAATTTTTATTTTTAACTTATGAAGCAAAATGGTGACAAATTTGCCAAGGATGGCTAAAATTACAGAATTTTTTCAAGCGGTTTATGTTTTAAAAAAAATGACATTTGTTCAAAAGAACAGTTACAATATTTAAAATAAAAAAACTGAATAGGCTAAAGAATAGTGAATTTTTGAGAATTTGCCAAAACTCTTACCATTCTCCTCTGGCGCATCTGTTATCAAGAGAAAATGTGGGCATAGTTATGTTCATGAAACTTTATTCAAAATTTAAGTTTGTACTATTGTTTTCTTTCTTAATTGATTTGTTAAGTTTTCATTTCGAACATCCACATTTCATCATTTATCAATTTGAATCAACTCTTATCAAACAAGGATCCTGGTTAGGTCTGTATAATACAACTTGTTAATTGTTTGACTTTTTGTGACATTTCTATATTTCAATATGTGGGGAGTTACTTTTTTGAATCTGATAGTGTAGTTACTAGTTTTTTCACATGTAATCACATTGTGCGTCTTTTAGGCACTTTGTGTACTATATGTATACAGGGTGTCAAAAAACAACGGCACCCCCCTCTACAGCAAAAAGTCCTTAATGTTACATACCGTGTCATACCTCATAAAGATAATTTAATTCTGAAGTTACTCATCAAATTTCATTTGATAAAACTTTATATTAAAAAAGCTACATTGCTTCAAAGTTTGCTACTTCAGTACTTTGTTTGCTGCTCTGTTACTGGTTGAAGATCAAAACTTAAGAAAGTGGAATATGAAAGACTTAGTCCAGATTTAAACTGCACTGAACATATGGGCTCAGTTCTGAAAAACAGGGTATAGGCATTGATTGACAAAGAGCCTCTTGAAAAAGATACAGTAAGGATGTAATTCTGAAGAATGTGAGGAAAGTGCTAAGAGGATTATGCAATGCTACACCTTTATCTGAATTTTTATTGAAATCATATCCATCCAGATAAGCTGCTGTTCCAGCAGCAACTGGTGGTCATACCAACTACTAAGAATCAGCTGTAAATCTGTAAAATCAGAGGATATAAAACTGAAATTTCTCAGGTAACTCAAGAATTCAATTGTCTTTAAAATGAGATATGACACACCATGTAACATTAAGTACTTTTTGCTGTAGAGGGGGGTGCCTTTGTTTTTTGACACTCTGTATACAGGGTGACTAAAATTTTTGGAAAGAAATGTAAATACACCAATGTTTCACCTACTGGATACTTTATCAACACAAAACTTCATAAGTGAAGATGTTAAAAATGCAGCACAGCCATTCAGCAATTACTTGGGCAAAAACCATGTCAAAGCTTTCCAGCAATGCAGTATGCTATTTCATGCCCACCATATACTTTTTTCCCAGCAACAGGCTTAATTTGCTGGTAAGTCAAGAGGGGGAAATACCCCAAAATTCATAGATGGACCTATCTCTATGTAGAGATGAACCTCTAAAGGAATTCTGGGATATTCCCCCTCTTCATATTAGAGGAGTAAAACTAGTTTATTGGTCGCTGCACTATGACTGTCAACTATTGGTTGCGTAATGCATGTACTGGGCATAAATCTATCATAATGTAGGGAAGGGGTAACTTAATGGGGATGAGTGGGTGTCTTGTTGACCCACCTTTCTGGAGATGTGGAAACTTGTCAATACATAAGGGATTTCTTAAAAAAACAGGATTGATGATTGATATACTTATGGGGGAGGGCTTTTCTCTAACTTACCTTTTAAGACTGCTTCATATATAACTCCTGTGTAGTAGTCTAATCCTCTTGCTAAGCTAAGATCAAATGACACCTGCAATATAATAATACAAGGTATTATCATGCAAAATATCATCACCTGCCATTTGTTACAGACTCAGAATGCCTTAACTCTGGACACAGAATACCATCCACAAAACGTTGGATAGGCTATAACAATATGTCACCCGGGTGGTGGTGACTTAAAATCAATAAAGACCTTTTTAAATATGAGTAGTATAAAACTCAGGAAAACATATTGCCTGGTAGTACCACAACTTCACTGTATCACTGTAATACATTCATGTTGAGTGTATCCACTAGCTTTATAGAGCTCTACTCTATACAGTGGCCTATATATCATATATAAGTTTCAGATTTACAACATGCAACAGCACCCTGTTACTTTATCACTATTTTATTAAAACTTTACAATGCACTCTGGTATTACTGCAAAACTATTTTATATGAATGTGAAAACATACATTGTCTAGCACTCCAAATAGTTGGCAATAGTTTAGTAGTTGTTTCATATCTTTTAAACCTTCAACAGCTGCCTTCTGTGCGCATAAAACCTGATCAGCCTCTAATTGTTCTATAAGGTCAAGGCCACCTGAAATATATAACATCAAGGTTACCCGCAATATATAAGGTCAAGGCCACCTTAAATATATAAAATTAAGGTTACCACCAATATATAATGTTATCTGAAATATATGCAATCAAGGTCACCAGCAATATATAAGGTCAAGGTCACATGCAAGATATAAGGTCAAGGTCACCTACAATATATAAGGTCAAGGTCACCTACAATATACACCCACAATGGTTAAAAGATCTCCCATACAGATTTAATGTATCAAGACGGACAAATATCCCTTTTCATAATATTCAAGGAACATTATATTTCCTTTGTAGAGAAAGAAAGCTAGATGATTGTTTTACCATTTAGTCTGACATAGTTTCCTATTGCATCTGCAGATTCAGAATCCAATCCTTTTTCATCAACCATCTCTGCTTTTACATCTTCCCAGAATGTCTAAAAAATAAAATCATGAATCACTGAAATGTTCATCTATTTTATTTCATTTCTTACAAAAAATTGAATAAAGTGTTTGATTTTGTTGCATTTATTCATGCCCCTTCATTTACTCTTTACTTTATTCACAAAAATATGCATCAATACGCCAGTACAAAAAATGCATTGTTACAATTTATAGAAGAAAGCCAAATATGTCCCTGCAATATCTGTGTTATGTTTTACTGTTTCACATAATAACTCAGGGATTTATTCTCAGAAGCATTTGTTAATGCCATTGACCTGATATATATTTTTTGTGCTATTGCACTCCATGCAAAATGTAGATTTATGTAAATTATATCTGAAATCAAATCAAAAAACAGTTCCTTACTTTATCTAACTTATCAACTGCAGAACATATAGTTCGGAATTTATCCTCTGGAACACCACAAGCTGCAAATATTCCATCTAAAAGTTTACGATGATTCACCTGAAAAACAGAACATATAAAACGTTCATTTTTGATAAAAATGGAGCTGTGAATGAAAACTAACAGATTCAAGAAAAGTTGAACATCCTTTATTAACAGTCGTTATTGTTGCATTACATTGTTATTGTTTTAAAATCAAAAGATGGTCTGATATAGTTACATTTCTTTGATAAGTTGGTACACTGCATAAAGCATTAAACCACAAGCAGTAACTTTTATGAATTACCTTTATGACAAAGTCGCCTAACTTCAGTTGACTGAGTATTTCTGCTACTATTTTTATACACTCTGCATCGGGAATCATAGAGTCGTATTGGCCAGCAATGTCAAAATCCTGAAATACAAATTGATAAATTCTGTCAAATAAAAATCTCCACGTTTCAGGTGGGTGTTATGTTTTGTTTCAGAGGAGAGATTCATACTGAGAAAGTTTACTTGAATGGTGAAAATTTTCACCAAGTTCATTAGATTTGTATGCAATAACATTGTGTACTTTTTTCATTTTGGGCCGAAAATAAGAATAATTTTTTTTTTAAATTGGCCACATTTTGAGAAAAATGCTTTTTTCAAAAATGTCCATAATGGGCTTATTTAAAAAATGGGCAAAAGAGCCCCCATTGGTCTCAATTTCAAGAACACCCAAGAAATGGATTGGAAATAGCACGAGCATATTGATGTTTCAAGAATGAACTTAAATTTTTCAACTTACACATTGATAAAACTCCCTATAACGTCCACGTGTCATTGCTGGATTGTCACGTCTGTAGACCTTTGCTATGTGATATCTTTTGATTGTGCTAACTTTACTCATGGCTAGGTAACGGGCAAATGGAACCTTCATGTGTCAAGGGTCATAACATAACACCGTTGTAAGCAGTTAATACATGTACATGGACAGTTTCTTAACCTATAAAGTATCTACAATGCATGTACTAGTCTACTAGAATGTGTAGGAGGAAAGTGAATATGCGCAATACACTATTAAGCATGATAATTTGAAGGAATTTGATTGATAAAAAATTTTATCTGGATTTACTAATCAGTTTTGTTTCTAAATTTCATAGGACACTATTTAAAGGTATTCAGTCATATCAGCCAAAATAAAGGAACACTCTAACATTTATGTGATGTAAGTAAATGACAGGGACTTGATACAAATACAAGGAAGGTGTGTGCTTATTTCATTTGCAAGGATACAGTGAGATCATATCGTAGAGAAAGAATTTCTCCACCCTGGTCTTTCAGATCATATATCAGCTTGGAGTCTTCGCCATATTTACCAGTTAATGTATCCTACAAAAATGAACAAAAAATAATTGCATGAATCGATACATCAGTAATGAATACATTACCAGTATTGAATCTTCTTTTTTTCTAATTAAACTTTTGAAATAAAGATCTAAATAATTTTCATCCTCCTCATTTTTTTTAATTTTGAAATAAAGATTCAGATAATTTTCATACTTTTTTATCATTTTGAAATTCTAATGAAATACTCACTTTTAACTCAAACACTGGTGTATCTATAGTTTCTGCTCCATGACGTTTGAATGCTGCTACAATAGTCTTAAGAACCCCCTCTCTTATGGCCATCTGCTGCGGGTTATAGTCCCTAGTACCCTAGAATCAGCAAAGAAAATAAACACCTAGTCATAGTTTCAATGTCACCACCTGGTTGCAATTAAAAAGCGTAACCAATTGTTACAGACACATATGCTGAATGCAAAATGCCACTCGCAAATAATGAAGACTGCAACCTTCTAGATTTATAACCATTCCAAGGAGATTTATCGAGAGCTCACCCGACCAAACCAACAGCACACGCAACCAACAAACTGAATGCAATATAGCCCCCAAGGATCCGAGTGCTTTATCACTTTTATGTAAATAAATTTATGTGATTTTAGTAATTTCATTAACCTTATGTGGTTCTAATGAATAAAATAAATATATAAATACCTTAGGTGTTTTGAGTGTGAATTTCTTTGGTGCTTCATCTCCGATTTGTGCTTTCAGCTCCAATAGCTTAGCAACCTCTTCCCCAATCTGAAACAAATTTCCCATATATAGAACAGTGATCTCCCCAGCATTTAAGCAAGTGGGCGCAGCACACACCTGAGATTTTGGAAATAGGCTTGCACCCACCTGAAAATCCATTTGCACCCACTTGAAAATGAGAAAAATTATGAAAAATGGGCATATTTTGACCAATTTTGGTCTGAATTGTGAAAATGAGAGTTTTGCACCCACTTGAGAAAATATCCTGTGGAGATCACTGTAGAATACGAATTGGTTTCACAAAGCTGGCATTCATGAGGATATTCGAAGAAATTCAGTGAACAGATTCATCAAGAAATGAGGAACAGAAAATTGAACTCATTCAAAACGTGTGCTTGTGCATGATTTACGTGTATCTTCATGAAGAATCCACTTCTCTAAAATACCTCATAATCTTTTTGTATCTCAGATGTGAATAATCTGCTTCTATGTGAATTGTGGTTTAAAAATCTATCAAGATAAATTTAAATGAAAATATCTAAAACATTCTGATATTAAAACTTAAAAGATGTGAGTCAAAATTAAGAAATTGTGATATTAGTTTGAACCACGTAATTAATGGTTTTAAATAACTGTTGAGAAAATATGAAAGTTTCAGTTCATACCTGTGAGCCATTGTGGGTGGAAGACATTTTCAACACATGTGAACGGTGCAATGGACACAATCCAGCCAGTAATCGTGTTGTGCGTAGCAAAGACATCGTGAGAGTAGTTCAGAAGTGAAGATCAGTCCAGAAGTGAAGTTCAGTCCCCAAGTGAAGATCAGTCCACCAATTGGACAATTGGTCCCAAATTAAAGTTGTGTCCCGCAGTGAAGATCAGTCAAAGGTGAAGGCAAATATGGAAGTAGAGAGAATCGTGGTTGATTCAAACCTGAATGCAAGGAAAACAGAAACCACCATTACAGTGTGTTTTGGTGGTCTCGTTTCACACTGATAAATGCAGCAATGCCATGATTAAAATACAGCGGGAGAAAGAATATTGCCAGTTAACATGTCTATAGTTATACTTCAAATTGAAGAGGTAACATAAGCAAGGACTTAGCCAGGGTCCCAACAAAATAGACAAGTAATTTAATAAAAAGATGAGATTAAGATAAAATTTTGCAAGTATTTTAAAAACATCATTTTCAGAACTGGAATGAGTTAAATAAAGCTCAATCTAAATCTAAATCTCAGTTCTCTTCTCTTAACATTTGGTTGGTGCAGTTGCCCCTGGGCTGTTGCCACATGCCTGGTTGTGCCTACAACTAACGCCTCAGTCACATTTGCTCTATGATGGGCGATAAGCATACAGCATTTCCCTCCAGTTGTTTTCTTCAAAGATTGTCTGTTGTTTTGAGGAATTTTGTAATTTTTCAATGAAAATTAATAATTTCAAATAATGTTGCCTTTCAAGTCATCAAATAGATTTATGATCATCAAAACACAGAACATCTATAGTAAAACCCATCAAGAAGAACTTCTCTCAGTGGAATACAGTGTTCTACACAGAATTTTTTCTCAAGTGGGTTCAAAATTCACATTTTCTCAATTCAGACCAAAATTGGTAAAATATGCCAATGTTTCATGCTTTTTATCATTTTAAGGTGGGTTCAAATAGATTTTCAGGTGGGTGCAAGCCTATTTTCAAAATATTTTATGGGTGCCCGTGCTACGCCCACTATCTTTAATGCTGGAGAGATCACTGGGACTGTGGACCAATTTATGACTTACACACCTCTGTAAGTAGAATACTTTTACAAGTAGAACACCTGTCGCAGTCCCATGACCAAGTGACTTAATATTATCGAACAATGATAACGGAACACATAAATTACAATGTACTTTAGTTGAACCACTTGCCTCATTTCATACATTAATTGACAGCAATGTTTTCAATTGTCACCATATTGCATCAAAATTAAAAGTACTTGTACATGTACACTGGGAAAGGGCAATTAAAATATTTCACACATACATGTACATTAAAAGCACTGTTAATACTATACAACAGTAGTATATATTTTAATAATTAAGTTTTGACCTACCCTCCAGGCAGACAGGATAAAATTAATGTCACATATGACACACCCTCAAAATATATCAACATAAAACAGATTATCAATTTTAGGAAACTTCACTTCCCAAAAATAAGCATTATAACAATTCAATTAAGTAGTAAGGTACAATTAAATGCTATAAAAAGTAACACAGCATATTGTCAAATGGAAATAAAGCTAGGGGAAGTAACAAATATGCAAATTAATTTACCCAGTCGGCCATTTTGAATGGCACTTCCTATGTAAACAAATAATTTTCAATCCCAAATTTTAACATGTGTGGGCTATAGTCTGAATATTTTCATTCCAAATTTCAGACTAGAGGATATAGTCCAGTTAGGTGTGGGGAAATTTTAACATCTGATGGTTTGGCCTAAGTTTCTCTAGTCTTGCATCATCTTTTTTTAGGTGTGTCAAACATTTTACTTTACCTGATTCCAAAAGGGAAATAATCTATTTTTGATATGAGACAGTCTCACATTTACTAACAGTTGGGTTTTTCAATGTTTTAGTTTATTCACATTCCATTATATTCCTTCATTTTGTTTGTAGTACACCCCAGGCACACAGTTTCACCATTAGGTGGCACCGCGGGTTTCAGAACCCCCAAGGGTTTGCATTTATAGAAATTGAATTTGCTTTCTTGTAGATTGATAGCTTCTCAATCGGATTAAAAAAATCGAACAAGGTAGGCTGAAACTTCAGGACACATATCAAATGCAGGTAAATGAATAGTTGGCTTCCCAAATTCAACTGTATAAGGTCTTTTTGTCTCAAAAACTTCAAATATAGAGTCAATACTTTTGACCTCACTCCAATTGTCCATGCAATCAAACCTTTGCACTGATACAGGCTGAATCTGATCATCTACAGACTATAGCACAGTTCTATTCAAAAAATATGTTCAGTTTCAACCTGATTGATTCATTGATTGAAATAATTTCCAAAATGAAACGATTTCCAGAAAATCTGATGAAATAAGGAAGTGACAACGGAGCATAAATACAAGTCTCCGATAGAATCTGAATAGTAGGAACATACTAATAACATACCCTGTCTTTACTAGCATTTGAAGACTTCAATTGGCGTACTATTTCTCCTTGTATCTTCACTTTTTCACGAATATCTTCCACTTTATTGCTTGCCATGTTTTCCCCAGATTTAACCGGAAGTGGTGTAAATTCCGGATCACGCTTCACAATGGATATCTCAACCTACGCAAGTGATCACTTTAAAGGCCTGAAAGTGAGTGTTAGGCTTGATGTCAGGTAGAAAATCAGATTTTTTATGATGAAATTCACAGGCTGGTATCGAAATATTTGTCCGCTGTGACGGAGCATGCTATTTTTCATAACACACTAAGAATACTTCACGATTTATTTTTTAACTCATATATTTCGTTATACGATACAAAATTACTTACTCCATGCAATGGATATATCATTTGAGGGTAACTTTCACTTCTGTTTGAAGTCCTATTACGCTGGGAAGAAAATGGCGCCGGAGTATCATACTTCAAAATGTACCATTTCTTGTTTAACTTTCTAATGGAGAATATTTACACATGGTTTCAGCATAACTATGAAGGTATAAATGAGATGTTGATGTATTTGGTCTTTTTAATTCTTTTATAAAAAATAATGTTTAATTTTTTTGTCCGCTGTGACGGAGCAGTTGCAAATGTGAACTGTGAAAATGCTCCGTCACAGCGGACAAAAAATATTAATATTTTTTTTTATAAAAAAATTAAAAAGACCCAATGCATTAATATATCATTAATACATTCAGAGTTATGCTGAAAACATATGTTAATATTATCGTGTCACTATATCATGCCATTAAAAAGTTAAAAAGGAAATGGTACATTTTAGAGTTTGATACTCTGGCGCCATTTTCAATAGATTTTACTCCTAGCGTTATTGGACTTCAAACAGAACCTGCCTGTGAAATTAATCAGTTAATATTTAGTAAAACCTCATATTTTAAAAAGTGCTACTTAAAAAAAACCATTTGGGCTTTTATTTTGTGGAGACATGGGCTCTACAGTAAAACCTGGATATCGAAACACCTGTTTGATTCAAACATATCTCAATTGAATGTGAAAACATTTTGGTCCAATTCTTTTTAATCTGCCAGAGATCACAAAATAATCAACTTCAGCAAATTTCTTGAAATTTTTGAAAAGGGAGTACTATATTGAGATTAGGTACATTAGACTTCTCAAAGCACAAATACTGAAAGAAAAATCCAAGAGAGAATTTATAAAGTAGGCTATGATCTTGAATCCTCTTTCCTTATCTTTATAACCTATGCATGAGTTTCTTCAAACCATTCATATTTGTGTAGACCTGTCACTCAATGCGCATAACTCTAATACATAAACATCCCTCATGGAAAAAAACTATATATTATGAAATTGGGCACTTTTTCTGGGTCCTTATGATTTTTCCTATCATAGGCAAATGGGTGATAGAAATAATTTTTGAAATAAAAAGGGTGAATAAAGAGTATTTATACTTTTCTTTCTGAAAGGTTAATAGGATTCTACCGCTGCTGCCATCTTTGTATCAACCCAAAATCCTATGTTCACTCTTGGTTTTTGTCTACAAGTTTCTGAGCAAGACCATGGCAGATGTGTAATGACTTGGGAAAATCATATAATGTTACTTATATATACTCATTAACAAAACAAATATATTATGTACGTTCATAATGTATTATTATTCCAGCCATTAGGCCCCAAAAAACAATAAAATAAACCATAGTACAATGTGTTACATCCCTCAAAACCATATATACCTTAATCTACCATATATACATGGTGCGAACTATTCAGTAATACGATCCCTTATTGAGAAAATTGCCAGGTTGGCAATGCCTGTAGATATTTAGATTGTTGATACAGAATTTTTATAAGAACCAGGTGTCTGAATGCTGACAGTAAAGAAAAAAACATTTTTCCCCTAATATAAAATGAAAGTGACAGATATAGATTTGATATTCACTTGCACTTATAAAATCTTTGTTTCCTCCCTACCAACAAAATTAACTTTTTGCCACATAAAAGAACTTCAAGGTAAATTATATTCACCAGATTAATGATGCCATATTATAAGTTATTGGTACTCAACAATCAACATTCTAAGTTAAACCCATTTTTGCTTGGCAAGATTGCAACATATGACATCTTGAATCCGGTCAATATGTTTACGCTTCTTTGATGTAGCAAAATATGACATGGCTAATTGGATTTAGGTGTTTAGAGACATTACGCTAAATATTATTCCCTTTTTATTGAGACATGAGTGCAATAGTACAACCAATATATAATACAAGTCTGATATATCAAATTGAAGCACGGTGCATCTCTGAATATAACCATATAAGGATATATAGCCATATATGGATAAGCATACAGACAATTCAAAAACAACAAACAAGAATACAAAATGTACCATGACAAAGGTAAAATTCATTAATTTTCTAATTTTCTTAGATTTTCATAAGTAAGACACTGATTTCATTCAAATACTGTTTTTATAATACCTACTTTACTTTTTCCATCCTTGACTTGTGTTCACATAATAGTTAATAGGTGGCAATAGTAAGGTGCTGTTCGTGCCTCGTAAGGCAACATCACTTTATGTATTATGCATACATTATATATAGGCACTTTGAATATCTTTTAATAATTTCAATGTGCATCATAAAAATCATAAAATATGTACAGGGTGTTTCATAATGACTGTCTCCCGATCAACAGTCAATCCTAGATCATATGGCCCCATCACTAGGGACAGTCATTATGAAACACCATGTACAATATTTTGATTGCACAGTCAACAGTGATGCATTGGTTTTATTCAAATTATCCATCAAAAAAAAATAAAAAAGTGTCCATCCTGTTAAAATTTACCAGCATAACATCATCATAATAGATTTCATATACTTTGATAGATATTTCTGCAAATATTTCAAATCCCCATAATAAAATACTTTTTTTTATACGATTGTAGCCAGTCAAAAGTCAAGTTTTACATCTAGTCATTGTTTACTCCACGCCAATACCCGTGTATTTTTTCAGTCATATGAAATACCTTGACACCTTGTAAAGTCGGCATTTGCGAAACAATTTCTCTTATTCATTTTCGAAATACTGGCTACAACCTTCAAGACATAACAAACAATAAAATTAACAAATAGTAAAACATTTACAACTGCACTAGTTTTCACTGCCTCAAAAATGTTTTGTTTTCTACTTTTAAAACATCACTTTCATACACCATTATACTACATAGTCTTTAGTTTGTATTGTAATTGTGAAAAAAGCTTGTCAAAAGCTCTAGAATATTATTAAGTTATACACCTATAATCTATAAAAGTGGTTTTGCACCTTAGCTTGGTGAATTTCTTAATTTCTGGAAATATTTTTTAAATATTTTTTCAAAATACAGTCTAGCATAAAGCCCCAAAAATGCTCGACATTTTCAATTTTAACATGAGCCAAATGACTGTTTTCTTGTAGCTGTATGCTAGACTGATTCCCAAGGGACTGATCATTTTCTTTTTAATGAGAATATTATCAAAATGTGACCAGTTTTTCAATGTTAGGTTAAAAGTAGTAATAGATCCTGTGACGTGCGTAAGCTCCCATTTTATCCCACTGGTACTTTATGCGGATATACTGTGTGCACCCTCGGAAGAAGATCAAGAAACCTGGAAGTAGAATTCGACACATTTCATCATCTTTAATGCCAATGCCAACATATCATGTTTGAGTCTTATGTACTGTATGATCAGTACATTATATATAACATTATATTCATTTCAGATTCAAAATAAGTCCATAGTAAGCGCCTATCATTCATTCAAATTATTGACAATAATTTCATTTATGGCAATGTGAGAGTCAGTTAAGGTTTAGGTATGAACAAGCCCTGAGAAGACCATTCCCCGGTTATCCCAGGTAAATGTTTCTGGTAAGTTACACTGAACGAAACATCAAGCTTCAGATCTCAAGAGTGCGAGATGAGACTTCAGATGAGATATCGATAGGATTGTAGTTGGAGGGTTTTTCTTCCTAGACCCTAGGAGCTTACAAAAATCCATTCACAATGTAAGTTATATATTTCGATTCTTTTCCCTCACCTCCTTCCCCAGCTTACACAACCAGTTGGACATTTATTTTCGCCCAAGAAGATGAGTTGGAGATGGTATTATAATATATCCAATTGAGCTAATTAACAGTTATGTCAAATTGTAAACTCTTGTAGCTAATTAACTTAAATTAGCCATTAATTTCCTAGGTATTGTGTTTTGTGTTAATTGGCTCAATATTTATTTATATTAATTTTATATTAATAATTTTACATGTACGACTCTCACGGCCATATTTATACTCTACATGAACATAAATTCTCTTATTATTTGACAAACAGATAACTTTGACTATTACCTAATTTTCCAAATATCAGAAGTGAATGTCTTCTCATGAATAATACAATTTTTTTTTCTTTAATACTTTAGTTTTTGATCTGCAATAAATTGGTAAAAAACCTTGAAATGTGAACACCTGTCAAATTGAACACTTTTGCTCAGGCCCAGATGTGTTCAGAATATACATGTTTTACTGTACTGTAGATTATATGCCTACTCACCAAGTACTACTAACAGCCACCAGACCCAGGAATTGTTCCCTTCAAGTACGCCACTTGCCCATTTGTTGGACTGGAACAATGAAAGAAATCATGAATTTGAAATATCATTAACATTGTTAACAAGGCATTTACATGACAAAATGTCACCGTAATTATTGCAGTTTGTGAAATACGGTACAAATTGTTACAGACATTGAATGCAACAGAATGTTACAGATTCCAAACACCATCCAGAAAAAGTTTGAGACTTACAAAATGTCACCACTTAGTATTTAAGATGCAGGATTGCAGGAAAATTTTAAAATGATGCAGCTATTGACATTATATATGATTCCTTCCAATATTTCACTTACCTTGACAATTAATACCCATTTCACAATGGATAAGCCAAGGCCAGAAAGAGCACCAAATCTTCCTGCAATTGTGCTAGATATGCACAGAGACACTAGGAATCCTATCCAGTTAAACAAAAATGCAACTGAAAACAAACAAAAATATTCTTAGCTACATATTATCTTAAAGGTTGCTACACTATGTATGAGAATGTCTTGAACATTATATGGGTGAGGAAATACATTATTAGGAAATACATGTATATTCCATTTGAAAGTGGTACAGGCATTTTTCAAAAAATTGAAGAATATCTTTTTTATTATTTAATGTTATGTTTCACGATCTGATCCATCATCCATCACAGGTGATCAAAGTACATCATATTCTCATAAATATACATTCAAGTACATTACAATTCTAATTCACTGGCGGGTCGAGAGTCTAACAAGAGGGGAGGGGATCAAATTTCGAGTCGGCCTAAAAAAGCCCATTTTTCCTGGGCCCACAAAAAAGGGGGGGGGGGGATCCGCCACTGTAATTCATACTTACTCATAAAGGTACAGAGAAATGTGATGTCATTTCCGAGTAGTACTACATTGTTGTTTGAGTCAGGCTGTTCGTTCAGTCCATCTTCCAAACTTGGACCACCAAACTGAAATGAAAACAGTCTTTATATTCAAACTTCCCCATATCTGCAATTTGGCGGAATATTTAGTCCATCATTAAAAAATATTCACACATCTCAGTTAGAATATCAATACAGTATTGCTTGTAATTTTGTTTCCCTCTCCATTCCAAAATATACATAGTATTATACATTCATAGTATACAAACTTTAAAACTTGTTTTAAACACTATTCCTTAATTCAAATAAGTGAAAATTTTTCAAACAAGTTTTAAAGGTTGGGACTTATTTGTGTGTGGGGTACTATAGATTTGATTTTCATTTTGGGCAACCACATGGGTGACCCTGGAGAGGAAAATTTCAATCAATCAGACATATTTGCATCTGATAGATGATCTGACTGGATTGCTTTGAAATCCCAAAAGAGACTTTATATTTTGACTGACAACTTGCCCCGCCCATTATTTCCAAAGAGTCTGGCTTAACCTTTCAAATGAAAACCACCATAGTACATGTGCTTCTGTATGGCCTTTTCTCAATTTGCAATAATGTGAGGCAAGATTTAACATGAATTAACACTGCACTCACCATTGTATTCGCAAGAGTTTGCCTTGGAGGTGGTGGTTGTCTCAAAGCCTCTTCCTGCTTTGTTCTCTCAGCTTCAGCATATGTGGGCAATGATGTGGCAACATCATATCCTGGCAGGTGGTCATTTACTGGTCTATGACCTGGTACTTCAGCTTCCATGCTGTATTCTGCAAGGAGAAATTATGTAAAGCGTTATGGGTGGTTATCTTTAAAAATGCAAAATTGCAGGTGGTCATTTACTAGTCTATGACCTGACACTTCAGCTTCCATGCTATATTCTGCAAGGAATATCATGTAAAACATCATAGAGTGGCCATCTTTAAAAATGCAAAATTGCAAAAAGGACCCACGGTCCTGTGCTCACACAGTCTGGAACCTTCAGAGGAATGTATATCCTGACTTTCAAACAAAAATATTGATTTGGATAGCACAGTTTTAGTTTGATGACCTTGACCTTGAAAATTTTACTTATTCAGAGCCTAGTGAGGTCTTTTGTGATTAGGCTGACCAAAATTTACATCCCAAAATAAATCTGAAAAATCAACCTTTTGAATGTCACTGAAGGTCAAGTAAAGGTCAAATCCTAAAACTAATATCAGATTTGAACTCCTGGCAACTTGTTGATGATTTTCAAAAAAAAAAATTGGTCAAATATCCCAGATGCGAGTAGAAATAATCTTGATTTACGTCATTAAAAATTCACAATTTAGTCAAACTGGTGTCATATTTGGAATCTACATATAAAATTACATCTAAAAATGTGGTTTTGAAAAGAGTTTATCAACTTTGAAAATTTAATTTTCTTTGAAAATGTGACTTCTAGGTCCGGGAGATTCCCCATAGACCCCATGTTGTAAAACTACAAAAAGTGAAATATCTTTTCTTGTGTTGGGCAGATAATATTTTCTTTTACTGGACATATTTTAATTTGTATAACTATCACATACATAAGGGTTATTTGAAAAGTGAACCACTAAAACTGATGCATATTCAAGTCTAAGGGAATTTTGTAATACCCTGCCGTGTTATTTCCCCCGAATCAGCCACCTGGTGGCGAAACTGGTAACTACCTACTCGCATCTGAGTAATTGAAGCAAGTTGAAAAATAACTTATTTTTACTGTTTGACGTCAAATATCTCAAAAACGATAAAAATTTGATGCTAACCTATATTGAGCAATACTGTATAAGTGGTAATCTTGCCTAATCATTTAATTTGCCTATTTCCTAATTTTTGCCAGGTTCGGAAAATTAAATGTCGGAAATATTGTCTTTATAATGTTATCCAATGGGAGGTTTCTTGTCATTAGGAAAATTAAAATTAGGAAAATGATGAAATTTGACCATTCGGAAAATTAACCACTCGGATTAAATACCATTTATACAGTATGTAGGGAATGCTTAAATCTAGTAATGATGTAATTCATTGCAAGAAATGATCAAGTATAAGGCAAACTTTGAGAAACTTGTCAATCACACAACCTGCTATTGACTTTATACATAAGAAAGTTTCCTGAAAATGACCTAAGTCCTACTTTTTGTCAAATTTTATAGAGTAAACACCAAAAACTGTAATTTTAAGAGCTTTGAAATCTTAAGAGGACATAAGTTGCATATACAGCAACTACTACAAGTTATTTGAAAGTTCTACTTCAACAAAGTGTCTAGTATTTACAGAAAATTTGACTTTTTGATGTCAAAATCACCGGAAATGGCGATGATAGGTCAAATAAGCATTATGGATATACATAAAATGAATGTGGATATGACTCAATCTGAATAGCAGTTTTAATTTGTGCGGCCAATGTTGCAGACGGACGGACAGACGGACGGACCAACAGACGGACGGACACCTGGTCGATCAAAAAAATGAGTATAAGCCAGATAATGTGACTTCATTTAAAAGGTAAAACATATTTTACAAATCATGCCTTTATAGTTGTCACAGTTGAAGAAATCCCTAACTTACTTTAAAGCAATTACAGGGTGGCCACACATGCACAAGATTGAAAAAATTCCAGCAAATTCCAGACATTATATTCTAACATATGATGATAAATAACATACCTGGTGGTGGAGAAGATTGTCTTGGAGCCTCAACTTGCTCACCAGGGGGCACCACCATCGCTAGAGCCACGGGCTGGGCTGGAACCAGTTCATCTTCATTTTGTAACTGTAATAAAATTAAACATGTTTCATAGTCTATTAATAGTAATTAATTGGGCATGATCCAAAACTTGCATGTGAAAGTCCAAGACAAGGCGGGTGTATGTATCAAGCATTCATATTGTTACCATTTAACTGATGTGGTGTTAGTAACTCTTATTATACCTTAAATGTAATCACACCGTCTACCTTAATGAGTGATGTCATCAAGAGGCATGAGGCTTTATATTCAGATTCAGCAATAAAGTCATATAATATATGAACTAGATGTTCAGTGTTATATAGATAACGCCACAACTGAGACTCAAAATCAGCAGACAATATCATAAACGAGGCACAAGTGAGCTTACTATCAACATTGTATCAACTCATATCTAATTGTCACAACATATTACATTTAATCAATGGTTTTACATTCCACAGATTAGATTTTTTACTGTGAATAAACTCTGTAATAGTTATTCCAAATGTTGTAATTAATCATCCCTCAGTTCAGTTAGAGATCAGATGGGACTTTATGCCAGACATCCAGACCTTGTTCTGGCGCAGACTTAATTGATAACAAAAAGAGCAATTGAAGTAGACTTAAATTCTGTTTTGAACACTTTGGGCAGTCTGGCAATGGGATGACACTTAGATGATTTCAAATGAGGCTGGAATATTCAAACTGCAGTCATAATTGACATAAATTAGAAAATCTGGGTTGAAAACTACTGAAAGTTTCATGAAAAAAGGCAAAAAGGGTGGATTCTTTTGCGGCATAAGTCTGCACAAAATCAAGGTTTGGCATAAAGTCCCACCTGATCTCTGACTGTAGTTCAAGTCATTTTATCATTTTTCTGGGGTGAACTGTTATAGATCATTTAAATCAGAGTCACTTAAGATGGTCGATGGAATATTGGCAAATAAGTTATCGAAACAGACACATTAATTTAATGAAACAGACATTGAAGGCATGTTATTGGCAGTCATTTGTTATTCCCTGTTGTATTGTCATTCCCTGTTGTATTGTCATTCCCTGTTGTATTGTCATTCCCTGTTGTATTGTCATTCCCTGTTGTATTGTCATTCCCTGTTGTATTATCATTCCCTGTTGTATTGTCATTCCCTGATGTATTGTCATTCCCTGTTGTATTGTCAATCCCTGTTGTATTATCATTCCCTGTTGTATTGTCATTTCCTGTTGTATTGTCATTCCCTGTTGTATTGTCATTCCCTGTTGTATTGCCATTCCCTGTTGTATTGTCATTCCCTGTTGTATTATCATTCCCTGTCGTATTGTCATTCCCAGTTGTATTGTCATTCCCTGTTGTATTATCATTCCCTGTTGTATTGTCATTCCCAGTTGTATTGTCATTCCCTGTTGTATTGTCATTCCCTGTTGTATTGTCATTCCCAGTTGTATTGTCATTCCCTGTTGTATTATCATTCCCTGTTGTATTATCACTCCCTGTTGTATTGTCATTCCCAGTTGTATTGTCATTCCCTGTTGTATTATCATTCCCTGTTGTATTATCATTCCCTGTTGTATTGTCATTCCCAGTTGTATTGTCATTCCCTGTTGTATTATCATTCCCTGTTGTATTGTCATTCCCAGTTGTATTGTCATTCCCTGTTATATTATCATTCCCTGTTGTATTGTCACTCCCTGTTGTATCATATCTTGTTTACCACCAATGAAGGTGAGCAATACCTCTTGGGTATATCCCATATATAAACCGTCATAAATATCGGATGTAATCATGAAAGGCAGACCCAGGAACCCCTCATTGGAGGAGCCCTGTGTTCTTTTATGTGCACTCATACATAGCCATACAAGTACACACCACTGCCTTTTTACGAGTTGTGGACCACTCAGTCAAACACCCTGAAGTACTTTATGTAAAGAAGCAGATTAACTAATGCCTGAACCGGAGATCGATTCCAGGACCTATTGCGTAAGAAGTACATGCTCTACAGCTGAGCTATACGGTGGACTACCGACTACTGTTGGTTGATACTTTATGCCAAGAAAAATGTAACATGTATATTTTTTTTGGGAGAATTTATAGTTTTTTGAACTTTGAACCTTTTATTAGGAGGTCCCATGAATAGGGGGCTACTTCACCATTTGATTAAATATCACAGATCATTTGGAAGATAATGTATTTGAGGTGGTAAAGAATACATTGGAAGTGCACTTATACCATCCTTGGCCCAAGAGTAATTCATTGCATTACATGATCTGCTATGAAAGCAGTGAAGGACTGATCTTGAAGGATGCACTTATTACATGCTGCTGGCAATTTTTATTAATCCCCTTGTACTCTAACTATAATAATGCATGATAAACATTGGTTACAACAATTGCTTATAGAAATAACCTGCATGTGAATACTTACGATTTCATATCTCACATTACGGTCCATCTTCTACTACAGGACTTCCAAAAACGAGACTTCTAATTGCTGATTATCTTATAATGTCCGGACTTTTATATCTGAAAATACAACATCGAATAATATAATATTATGGCAATCATGAAATACAGCCATATTCAATGGTTTAGAGTTTTTTTTCCTATGAGGCTTACAGTATCAATGACTCATTAGATGCACTGACCTTTCAACTATGGAACAGAAAGACTAGTTAACAGGTTAAGAACATCCTATGATTTACTCGTGATATGAAAATGACCAATTCATGGATATTCTTTCGCTACACTCGCTCCTGCCGATATCATATAATCAGGGCACGCCTTAAGCGTCGGACAGCTGGTCATTATCTGGTTACTTTTGATACTGACCAGTTGATTTTTTCACTAGGTATAGGAAAATAACATTGCAACTGGTCAGTAATGCCTTTTTGACCAGCAGCTCTGGAATCCTTAGGGCATACACTGCATATAATTCGTAAAATTAATTCATATCACTCACAAAATCGGGGCCAAAAATTCAAATTCATGGTTTTTCACCATTAAGAGCAAATTTCAATAAGAAATTGTTGTTGACAGTAAGGTTGTTTAAAAGTTTTACTTTAGACCTTATTGTTAAGGTTAAAATGTTGGTTTTTCAACTTTAAAAAGTTTGGATTATAGCAATACAATCATTGTATATAATTTCATAGAACTAAAATAGTCACACTTTCTCCGTATACCGTATTCTCTGTAATAAGCGCCCAGGGCGTTTAGAAAATTGAAAATACATTATTTAGACCATTCTAATAAGCGCCCATGTATGAAAGAAATCAGAAATCCCGAGGAATTTCATGTATGGCAATTTTTCTTGACAAGAATGCATTTTCTTCAACATATTTTTATAATAATATGACAAGTGCTGTTATTGGAGAGAATACGGTAAAGATCGCTTAGACAATATTGACAGTGGTTGAAGACCCGTCTATGTCTAATTTATTTCCGGCACGCCCACTTTGTCATTATCGCCGATTACCTTCAATATTTCCACTAGAGACTGCTGGATATCGATCTAAAGTTATACATTATTTCTAATTTGATGAGAGATCATCATTATTCGTGCAAAAGTCGTGTAAAAGTCGAGAAACATTAAAAAGAAACCAGAAAGTTCACGACCTTGACATGCGCAGAACATCTGCGCAGTAGCTTTTGAAATTTCTGAATGCCGATAAAGAACAATTCCTTCATTCATTATGGACTATTTGGAGACAATATTAGCATGGTATGGTGTGGGAAGCACCCATCGATAGATATGTATCGAGAGGATGCATAGAATTACAAAACGCGTCGTGTTTACAGCAGTTTTAGGGTAAGTACTCTATTATCGCCCGCTCCTGGATTTTGAGAAATATTTTTTTCCTGATATATTCTTCAATTCTTGTTGATTCCTCGATGTTTCTTGAACTTTGTGAAGCGGGGTGGGCGCTTATTAGAGAGTGGGCGGTAATTACAGAGAATACGGTAGCCCTATATGGTGCTTCGAGTTACTGTAGAACTCAGATGTGATGGTATCCAGTGAAACATAAGCACCAGAGACCATCAACAGGTGGCATAAGTCTAAGCCACACAATCAAACTCAAAGGATATAGACTTGAAGATATTTCACAGACTAATCAAATAAATAGAAATGATCACCATGTTAGGTCAGATGGACATTAAGATGACGGGTACATGGCGGTTACCAGGTGAAAGGTCTACTACTTTTTTCATGGCCTGACTGTGTCTGTAAAACTTGAAATATAATAGTTACCTAAAGATTGGGAGTCTTACGTACTTACCTTCTAGAGGCTAGAACACACATTTCAATTAAACCATATCACCTTTGTTACGTCAACCATTGTGAATTAAGCACAATATCAAAGGGGTAAAATATGGACTTTGAAAATAAATTATTTCCTTGTAAGTTCTGGAAGTTTCTATACGAAAAATTACTGAACATATGTAGAAATTGAATGTTTGTTCGTTGATTTTATGATTTATATGTGTGTTTATTCTTCTATATTTTGGTCTAAATTATAAAGCATCATGAACAGGTCCTCCAGTATTAATAAACTAATACAGCAGATGACCCATTCATACTTTCCGCGCAGCATTTCATTCAGACCATTAGTTCCACTGTAGATCATGTAGTTTCTTCTATCTTAAAACAGGCCATCCTCCTCTGCCCTGTCCTAAACTCGTCTTCAAGCGACCGCAAAACATTCTTTTTTAACATTCTTATTTTTTTCACATCATCAGACAAGGCTGGATGACATGTAACAAAATTAAAGTTCAAGGGTCAATACATTTTTTGTGATAGGGGTAACGCCTTCCCGGAAGTCAACACGAGGAAAAATGGAAAAGTCAAGAAAGCATTTACACAAATTTCAATCACTGTGCTTATATTTCATCATGTAATGAACAAAGCAAAGTTTATATGGTTTCATTGAAATGTGTGTTCTAACCTCTAGAAGGTAAGTAAGACTCCCAATCTTTGGGTAACTTTTATATTTCAATAGTCATATAAATCCGACCGTTGTATGCTGTTCTTCGATATTCCTTGTTCTTATTTGGATATTTATTTTTTATCATTTTCTTTGCATACACGGTCTCGTATGCAAGAAAATAAGAAAAATAAATATCCAAATCAGAAAAAAATAACAACAAATAACATCATACGAGGGTCAGATTTATATGACTAATATTTCAAGTGATACCAAAGCAGTCAGGCCACGAAAAAAGTGGTAGTTTGTAATTTTGGATTTGAAAAGACTTGTTAATCAACATGTATTGAACAACCTGGAAGAATCGTGTACTAAATACCACCTAGGTGCCCCACACCTAGGTGTCCCCATTGAAATGCCTTACTGGCATATTTTACTACTTTATTTCAAGATAACATTTTTTCAAGTGTTAATATGGTACATAATAAAGTATTTTCGTGGAACTTGTGTAAATATTTCTGTTTGTTTATGATATTTTTAATTGTCTTGAAAATTGTGATCGATGTCGAAAAAGTCATTTGTAAGAATAATATTTCATTATTTGCTCACTATAAAATGCTACAAATTCACTATTTTAGCAACAAGTAAGAACAATATTTCAAATATAAATGCACACATTAGCATAAATGGGTTTTATTACTACAAATAAGTAAACATACATATGAGCAAAATTCCAGGTGCCCATTTTTCTAACAATAAAACTTTTTACATTTTATTTTCGAATCTTCTTTGCTATATTCTCGACTACAAATTATTGTTTAAGCCTATTAAATGTCAAGTTAATATACAAAGGAAATAATACTATATTTAAAATGTGTATGTGGTTTAAAATGGAATTAGAAATTCAGGTGCCCAAGGGGACACCTAGGTGGTATTTAGTAACACCCATAGGCCATTTACGCTAACTATTTAGCCTAGAGAGTCCATCGCATAGGTGACACTATTTGTGATCTCATCTCGAGGCGTGACCTGACATCTAGGCTATTGGCCAACCTGGAAAAGCTGAGGCCATTTATTCCAAATAGCTTTCGTTAGAGTATCGGTTAATGGTCATTATTCTTCTCGGTTGGACAATAGATATCGGATGTTGATATCACAACAACTTCAATTCAAGTTCCTCAAGGTGGATCCAAATTTTTCTGTTTTCTTTCACGGATCGTTTCGAAGAGATATCAAGCTCAATTTACGCGCAAGAACAAACCTAAAGACCACTATATAATGGCGACTAGTAATTTATATTCAATAACGATTCAAAGCCTAGAAAGAAGTAAAATCTTACCAAAGTTGTAAATCCTGAAAATTTTAACCCATGTCAACCATCTTGGATTTGGACGCACGTTGATTGGTCAATTCATCACATGACATAACAATCACCATGTTCGGTATTTTGTTCATTTGTTTCATGGTATCGTATATTAGAATATGTCACCAACCAGAATTTTAAAAATTAGCATAAAATTTCTCTTGGTAAACTCACCAGAGAATCTGATAATGAGTGATAATGTTTCTCAGATTCACACTTTGTTACGTTCGGTATTTCGGTGTATTAATGAAAGTGAAAATTATAAAATGTGGTTTTGTAACTTGGTAAGTACTTACGCTGTTTTACGTCAAAATCTGGTATATGTATGTCCTGAAATGATAGCGATGTACATAATTACCTTTTCAATATATTTGTTATACATAAGCTAGACCAGATTAATGACTAGTCTTACTGTGACAACTAAATTATGATTTATTATCATTTTAGAATTTAAACTTTTCAAATTGAAGAAATATTGAAATATTATACACTAATAATAATCTGCCCAAAGACTAGTAAGTCATATGATTTTATTTTTAGGCCCAGTCACAGGGATTAGTCAAGAGTAATGCAACTTGATATAAATATATTGTTGTACAGGTAACTAGAGGTTTCGTGTGTCAGTTATTAGCTAGCGATATTTTTCACAACATAACCATGAACGCAAAGCCAATGAATCAAGACAGTAATGTATATACTGCACATACAAAACAAGCACTACTTAGTCTACTTTAGAACGTGAGATTTGCAATTTCCTGGTGTCAGCGGGAATCATTATACAGGTTTGTGTAAAAATCTGAGCTGGGTGACCGGGTAGCCAGGTAAACAGGTACTTAACGTTCCTTGCAGGGTTACCAACTTTCAAAGTTGCACATTTGTAGACTACCCTTCAATATTTTTACGTTATCATTTTACCAAGAACCTGTAAGAGACTAAATTTCGGAAGTCCTAGGTACATGTAGTTATTTACAGTTTACACGTACAGTGGGGTACATTTAGAATTGCTATAGCTATGAAAATTACATGCTGTCGCACATGTAATAAATTCTTACCTCAGTGTTTTCAGTGCTCTATTTTCTCCGTCCTAGTAAGTCCAAATATAGTGGAATTTGTGTCCATAATGACAAATAAGAACTTAAAAAGTTGAAGTGGATATTCACATGTAAATGCCAACTCTTCAAATGTTGAGGTGATTTTGGAGCCCGATTACGCTGCAAGGGAGGTTTCCAAAATGCCGCTCCGCCATTTTTAAACCTGTCACGAGTAAATAAGGTTAACTGATGTTGCATTGTGGGAGTCAATCCTCCTTGGATCACAAACATGGCGATTCATAAAAACATTCGTTCGATTTGGTAGGGATTTATCCATCATTTGCAGGTATGAAGCTTTGGATTCATTTATTGTGCTACTTAAAGTGAATGGGAATTATTTTTTCTACCTCTTGGGAGAGTTTGAGACACGAAACTTAAAATTTCGCTCATTGTGACAACTTTTGATGGTTGAGGTTTAGTTTTGTCCTCCACTTTAGGATGACGTTAGTTGCTTGATATATTGTCTGAGTGATTGACAGGATATCGATGATTGTTAAACAAATCTGGAAGATTTTCGTACGCGTAAATTGAAACGTTATTTGCCGTTTTTATCTGTTAATTAGTGTACGATGTACAATACAACGTTAGTTGCTTGATTTATTGCCTCACTGATTGACATTATATTAATTTTGTTTGTTGTTTTGCCGGTTGATTTATTGGACGTAAATAAATTTTGTTGCTTGTTTGGTTGTTTTCTTGATTGGTTGTGTCACTGGTACGTACGTTGATTGGGATGTCAGTTGGGCGTTTTGAGGCATAAAATGAAAAAATCAAATTCCTAACCCTGGTAGGAAGGTAGGGTACCCGGTTACCTGGTCACCCATTTTTTTACACAAACCCTCATTATAGTACTCATGTCTATTGAATACTATGCCTGCAATATTGATTTTGATGCACAGTATAATGCTTTCTGAAGAAAATGATGTATGTAATACATGTTTTAGCTGCAAATATCTTACGAAATAAGCTTGTTTAAAATATGTATCATAGAAAGCCAGCTATAACTATCAATAGCATATTACACACCCGGGTTTACACAATGATGTAACTGAATGATGTTTTATCTCCAAATATCTTGCGAAATAAGCTTGTTTAAAATATGTATCATAGAAAGCCATCTATATAACTATCAATGGCATATTACACGATGATGTGTCATCTAAGTAACGGACTGTTACTGTAAACACTGTTACTGAACGATTATTTATGTGAGAAAACTACATGCATTTGTATATGGGCTTATAGTGGGGATGTAGTACATACAGTATGTAGGATGAAATCAGTTGCATCCCCATGTTAATTCAATTATGGGTTTGTAGAAAAAACCGGGTACCGGGTAGTAAATCCTCCATGCTGGGTTCAAACTTGGTACCCGGTACCCCACAAAAACGAAAAATACAAATATATAACATACAGTGTTATTAGACCATTAGAAAAAGTGTAAGATTTGTTTTGAATTTACAAAAATGTATGTAACTTCCTTCAAAATTGAGCTAGAAGCTTCAAATAAAGAATATTTTAAGGCTCTTTTCTTCCTCTATCATCATGGTCATATTTATCATTGGTTTTTGGGGGGGGAGTGCGATCGCACCATCGCACCCCCTCCTGGCTACGCCTATGAAGTTGCTGTTTTTCTAGTTTTCATTTATTAGTAATAAAAATCCCTGCATTTATCTGCTATTTAACATGAACCATTATCTTTGTTATATAGGACTAAACTAAACTGGGACTTGGCGAAGTTCGATCATTGGCTGCAGGACCTTAAAGGAAAAAAGTGTCAAGGTAGGCCTAATATTAATATATTTAATTCAAACTTTTCACTGGCATCCTTGAAGCTTTTATGAATTGTAAATGTTCTGTTGAAATAGTGTAATAGAAAATTTTTTGTAACCAATTATATTTTTATAAATCCAAGGGAGAACCTACCATATAGATGGCAGCACCAATCAACATTGGAAAATGGACATTAAAGATCACCAGAAAATGTTGGAATAATGACTACATGTTGAACAGCCTATGCACATCTGTAGCCATTAAAAGACCTGTTCTAAAGGGTAAAATAGATAACTACAATGGAATCTTTGTCAATGTGGAACAGATAGCAGCTGATGTACCAGATGAAACCTTTGACAGTATTCTAAGAGGTAAGTGAACCACAAGCAAGATAAAAATGATTGATAATTTAATGTGATATTACCTTATGACATATCAATGTTTGCAAATCGTGATTTTTTGTGAAAAAGTGACAGGTTTAAAATAAACTACAGTAAAATGTATTCACATTGTTTCTGAGTTTTCTCATTTAACTGATCTTTAGTCTCCCTGGATCTTCACCACTTTATTGAATGATTAAAATTTTAGGGTCAGAGTTGGATGTTTTTAAATGGCAAGGTCACATTTATAGGTCAAAGAGACTGGAGAGGTCAAGTGTATTTTAACATTATCCGAAGCTTTTTAATATCTTTAGACTAGTGTCACAATTTCCAGTTCCATCTTAAGCTAATTGTTACCTACCAGAAGTGATGACATATTGTTATAGTCTCAATTTTTTATGGATGGTGTTTGGAAGTTGGTGTTCGGCTTTCAGCATCCGGCGGTTGGCCGTTCTGTGATCGTCATCTATACCAAATGGCAGGTGGTGACATTTTTCATGTTAATGTCTTGTATAACTTAACAGCTGTTTGAGTTAATTACAGTTACTCTACTCTTACTCTATTTTACAATTACTAATTACAATAATGTTTCTAGAATAGTACCAGTTACAATTATTTTACCAGTTACATTATTTTACCAGTTACAAATATTTTACCAGTTACAATTATGTTTTCTTTACAATTATGTTATAGTTATGTAACAAGTTTTTAATCCTCATTCAATATTTCTTTTAACATTTGTATAAATAACAATTTATCGCAGTCATGTAATTAAATTAGTGAAGTTACTTTTCTTTGAAGTTTTGAGTATAATACTAGTCACAGTATCAAGTTCAACTGTTATTTGTTTAAGTTGTCCTTATTAATATTAATGGCTAACAGAAATTATTTAGTTCATGAATAACCTAATTAGTTTATGCTAATTAAATGGAGAATCAGTCATAGATCAAATATACCTTATTTTAAATCTAAATTTTAGAATTTGTTGTCACGGACTCGGAATAGCAGATTCTCCCTTTAAATTGTTAAATTATTTTTAAAAGCTGATGTAATATGATAATATGATCTTTTATGAAAGGATTTAAGTTCATGAAAAGTAGGACACATTTTGGAGAATCAGGAATAATCAAGCGCGAGCTAGAAGCAGAATGTTAAACATGGAGAAATGTGAGTTTTTAATCCATATTCGTCCTATTTTCTCCACATATTTTGAAGAATATATTTGAGGTTTTTGGTTTTTCATTCTTATTATAAGGGTATTTCTGTTCAAATGAAATGCTTAGCCATACATCAGTCACTCATCGCAACTTCCTTGCTACTAACTAACTTGTGAGAAAAAATTGATGACTTGGTTCTTTGCTATTGAGAACTCAAATAATTTTATGTCTGTGCTTCTGTAGCCAAGATATACGTTGGACGATGTGTCTAAATATATTTTTATATTTTTATTTTTTTCTTCAACTGTCCAGAATAAAAGTTATTATTATCCCAACGAACGAAGTTCGGTAGGGATATAGTGAAGCCCCCCATCCATAAATTGTTCAACTATAGTGAGATTACAGAAAGTATCGACGAAGGCAACAATACAGGAGAATGCGATTGTAATACATCTGAATTTAAGGATGAAGACCATGGCCACATCATAACAGGAAATCTGAAGATTATACAAAATTCAAAATTGAGAAAGCTATTTAGTAAAGGTCCTGGCTATAGAGAAAAACGAAACATTAACTTCAGGAAAGCCAAAGAAGAAATAAAGAAAGGAATAGATGAATATGCAATAAGT